TAGATAGAGAAACGTGATGAACTTAATAATATAAATGTGGCACCATAAAAAAATAATGTGAACAAAAGTTAAATGGGATAACTCAGTTTTAAAAAAGATTTAGAAATAATTTGAAGGAAAAGCTCTCATGAAGTGAATTTATTGAATTCAAGGATCATAAAAGATTTCAAAGGATTTTAATGTTGTTTACCTAACTGGCAATAGAACTATTCTCATTTTATCAGTTTTAGTTCTGGAAATTACTAGATAAATGATATCTAAAGTTCCAAAGTATAGCATCCTGTTCTTGGAATCTGAGTCACCACCTCCTGTTTACAATGCCAACCTTCCTCAGTCAGTAAAAAGCATCAAATAAAAACCAGAACTAGGACCTTAGATAAATTTTCAGTCCAGAGAGCATTGCTCCAAACTTATAGCAAAAGGTAGATAAAATATGTAGAAAGCATTATAGTAATACAGTGGGTCCCAAAACAAGATTAAACATCTTTTGAGCCAGAAATAGTTATAGAAAACAGTGATGAATTGTGGATCTGCTGGGCTCTTGGCATGAAACAGGCAGAGACAGGCAGAGACAGCCATCCCCGCTGATGGGTGAAGGCCTCAGGACTTGAGTGAGCTGAGTCGAGGCTGAACCGAAGTAACCTCGATGCTTTTGACGGTTTATAAAATTAAGAGGCCACAGAATAATTTATACTGATGTGCATCCTAGTGTACAGATTATAAGAAACCATGAGCTTACGATTGGGCGGGGGGGGTTGGGGTGGGCCAACAAGAACCAAATCATCCATGTGCTGGTTCAATTACAGATGTATCTGCAATATCCCCATAGGAAAGAAGTTCCCAAAAAGCCACTATAAGACCTGGTTTTCACAGAGTCAGATGCAGTCATTTAGGGAAAAGTGAGAGGAGGGTGGTGAAGGTAGGGAGAGAGAAAAAAAGGAGAGAGAGAATATGAGAATATAAACAAATAACTTGAAATGCTTGCATACCAAAGTTCCAAAATACACAAAGAAATTGACTGCTAAGTAAAACAGTCAACAAGGGGCGCCTGGGTGGCTCAGTTGTTAAGCACCTGACTTCGGGCTTGGGTCATGATCCCAGCGTCCTGGGATCGAGCCCCACATTGGGCTCCCTGTTTGGTGGGAAGCCTGCTTCTCCCTCTCCCACTCCCCCTGCTTGTGTTCCCTCTCTAACTGTGTCTCTCTCTGTCAAATAAATAAATAAATAAATAAATAAAATCTTTAAAAAAAAGAAAGAAAAACAGTCAACAAAATCAACAATAATATTATGAATACACTCCAGATTAATTTCATAGAAGGGTTTAATAAAGGCTTTAAATATGCCTAAGACACTCTTAGTTATAAATGATGTAAAACTTGAAGAATTTATGAAACAAAAAAGGAATAAATAAGAGGACAGGTAGACTTTTAAAGAAACTGTGAAATATTATAAATTAAAGTTATGTAAATTTTAAAAAAATGATAAATGGGCAAACCCTGAACTTGACACAATCAGAGAAAAGATCTGAATCAGAAATTAGTATTGAGGAGTTTACATAAAACATTTCCCAAAGAGATAAAGGGTAAAAATAATGAGAGACCCGCTATTAGATAGAGCAATTTGATTAAGAAACTCCAACATACATCTATTAGGAATCCCAGAAAAAGTGACTGGAGGAAATTGCAGCTAAGCAATAGTTGACAGGGTAATAGTTGAGAATTTATCAACATTTAGAAACACATGAGTCCTTAGTCGGAAGACACATCTATTAAGTTGCTACAACATTGTGGGCGAAACTACAGAAAACTGGGGATAAATTATCTTATAAAAAATGGTTTTTTTGAGGGGAGGGGCAAAGGGAGAGGGAGAGAGAGAATCTCAAGCAGGCTTCATGCCCAGTGTGGAGCCCAACACGGGGCTCAGTCTCACAACCCTGAGATCATGACCTGAGCCAAAATCAAGAGTCAGACACTTAACCGACTGAGCAACCCAGAGATGCCAGGGACAAATAATCTTAAAAGCCATTAGAAAGAGGGACGTCTGCCTTCAGTTAAGCATCTGCCTTCAGCTCAGGTCATGATCCCAGGGCCCTGGAATCAAATACCACATTGGGCTCCTTGCTCAATGGGGAGTCCCCTTCTCCCTCTGCCTGCCACTCTCCATGCTTGTGAGTTCTCTCTCTCTCTGACAAATAAATAAATAAAATCTTTTTAAAAAAAGCTATTAGAGGGGCACCTCAGTGGCTCAGTTGTTAAGTGTCTGCCTTCGGCTCAGGTCATGATCCTAGGGTTCTGGGATTGAGCCCCGCATCAGGCTCCCTGCTCAGTGGGAAGCCTGCTTCTCCCTCTCCCACTCCCCCTGCTTGTGTTCCCTCTCTCGCTGTGTCTCTCTCTGTCAAATAAATAAAATCTTAAAAAAAAAAAAACTATTAGAAAGAAAAGACATTGACTACAAAGGAATCTCAGCTAGATTGGCAACACATTTCTCATCAGCAACAATAAAACCAGATGATATGAAAATAATATTTTAAAAGTACTACAGGAAAATAACTAAACTCAAATTCTATAACCATTTAAATCATCTAAGAGCAAGGGCAAAATAAGGATATTTTCATATACATAAATTAAAATGTTTTACCACCCACAGGCTTCTATTAAACTATAATAGTGTGTACATTAACAAAAATAGCAGGAGGGAAATTTTGGGATATAAGGAGCAATAGTTAATACAAGAAACAAAGAAGTTAATAAAATTTGATTGTAAAAGTTAAAAAGATATTTTAATAGAAAAATTTTAATTAAAAAAATAAAACTAAATCTTTGAACAATACTATGATGGGGTGTCAATGGTCAGTTAAAACTTGCTAAAATATGAATCATGTTTGGAAGAGGAGAGAAATATAAAATTCATTTAGACTTTATAAGGAAATTCATAGTTATGAATGTTTCTAAAAATTAATGATAATCACTAAAAGAATAGAAATAGATTTTACAGCTTTTAAATTAGCAGAAGTAAAAAGAAGGATAATGAAAATGTTATCTAAACAAGGGAAACATAAAAAGGGGGACAAAGAAAGAAACAGTAAATGGAAAACAGAAAAGATTGTGCAAACACTTACAAACATATTAAATCAAAATAAATATAAATGGATTATTTTCATTGGGGAGATGTTTAAGGGTACAAATTTGTAACTAGTAGATAAATGAGTCCTGGAGATCTATTGCACAATGTGGTGATTATAGTCAACAATACTGTATTATAAATGTCAAAGTTGTTACAAAACTAGATCTTAATTGTTCTCACCACACAAAAAAAATAATTTTGTGATGTGATAGAAGTGTTAGCTAATGCTACAGTGGTAATTATATTGTAATCTATAAGTGTATCAAATCAACACATTATACACCTTAAACTTACACAATGTTATATGTTTATTATATCAATTAAAAAATGTTTACAGCATGAGACACATTTAATTTAATTAATTAATTAATTAATTAATTAATTTATTTATTTATTTATTTGAGAGAGCAAGAGAACTCATGTGAGTGGGGATGGGGGGGTGGGGGCAAGGGCAGAGGGAGAGAGAGGGAATCTCAAGCACACTCCACACTAAGCACAGAACCTATTGCAGCGCTTGATCTCACGACCCTTAGATCATGACCTGAGCCAAAATCAAGAGTTGGACACATAACTGACTGAGCCACCCAGGTGCCCCAACACATTTATTTTTTTTTTAAGATTTTATTTATTCATTTGAGAGAGAGAGAGAGAGGATGAGTGGGGGGAGGGGCAGAGAAAGAGGGAGAAGGGAAGTAGATTCTCCCCCTGAGCAGAGAACCAGACACGGGGCACCATCCCAGAATCCCAAGATCATGACCTGACCCGAAGTCAAACACTTAATCTACTGAGCCACCCAGGTGCCCCCACATTTATTTTTTTAAGTAAGTTTTATTTATTTATTTATTTATTTATTATTTTAAAAGTAAGTTTTAAAATAAAGAATCCCAAATAGCCAATAATCTGGGGGGTGGGGGGGAAGAAAATTAAAATAATGAGAAACCATCTAAATTGTCAAAAATTAAAAAGTGTGTGGGACGCCTGGGTGGCCTAGTTGGTTAAGCGACTGCCTTCGGCTCAGGTCATGATCCTTGCATCCCGGGATCGAGTCCCGCATCGGGCTCCCTGCTCCGCAGGGAGCCTGCTTCTCCCTCTGCCTCTGTCTCTCTCTCTCTCTCTCATGAATAAATAAATAAAATCTTCAAAAAAAAAATTAAAAAGTGTGATTATACCAAGTGTTGGTGAGGCTATGGAGCCAGGAGAAGTCTAATCCATAGCTGGTGGGAATATAAATGGGTACAATCCCTATGAACAACAACTTGGCAATATCTAGTAACTATAGATAATATAGGCTATTCAACGCCACAATTCTACTTTTATATATGCTAAATATATTCCAGAAGAACATGCAAATATGTAAGAAGAGACATTTACAACAATGTTTGAGGTTGCATGCATGAATTCTTATGTAGTAATACCATGGAATACTATCAGCAGATGAAAATAATAAATTTAAACTGCAGATGATAACATATGTTGTGGTGAGAGAATTAAATATTAGAGTGATAGTATGATCTTGTTTATGTTTTGTTCAGAAACCTAAGTAGTACTGTACATTATTTATTACTAAATCTATATCTGGCGGGGGTTGGGTAGCTCAGTTGGTTAAGCGTCTGCCTTCAGCTCAGGTCATGATCCCAGAGTCCTGGGATAGAGTCCGGCATCAGGCTCCCTGCTAAGGCTCCCTCTCCCACTCCCCCTGCTTGTGCTCTCATTCTCTCTCTCTATCAAATAAATAAATAAAATCTCTAAAGAAAAAAAAAGATAGGACAGGTTTGCAATAGGGGGACTTTATAGTTAGTCCAAAAAATTGTATAATCTGCTATGATGGACTACTCTATGAAGAAAAATAGAAATGTAACCATTTTCTTCTGTTTCAGACACATGTATGACCACTTCATTAACCTCTACCCACAGTTGATTAAGAAACCTTCCATCGTGGATAAAGTGCAAGATTTTATGGAGTATGTATAATAGCTTTCCTCTTGTTATTGAGACTGCAGGGCCTGAATCTGTCATTGCAAAGAGCAGTTTTTCCTTTGCCAATTTGCTTTTCTATCTCTTAGGCAGGACTCCAGAGCTGGTCTTGTGGTAAGGTTTAGCACATTTGGGTAATGACATGAAAACTGGTTGCAGACAACATGTCTTCTAATTTGGGCTCTCTCAAAGGTCAGGTTGAATGTCATTATCGATTACACATCTGGAGGAAGACACCATCAGTGTAAGGAAGGCAAAGCTAAATGCCTGGACTGCTTCCGCCTGAGGATCCTTTAGGGATCCCTCCTCCTCCCTCTGAGGTGCTTCTGTGTCATGGGCCTGGTTACTCTTCTTAGCTGGAGTACTGGCTGTTACTAGTCTTTATTCTGAACATCCTCAGAGAACATGGTCATTGTAATCAAGTCTTCTGGAAACTTAGTAATTCTCAATATTCAGAAAAGTTGTAGTCTATTTGTTTTATATGTGGGATTTGTTTTATATTTGTGACTGTGATTAATCTGGGGACAAAAGGGCTCCTGGTTTGGCCCTCCAGATCATACATTGAGCAACCTCTTTGTCGAATGCTAAAGTCCTACAGAGCATCGTTAAAAATTATTGGGCTAGATCCCGTGAAGCAATGACCTGTATTCTAAGGCTGATCTGAAGATAGACTGAACAGATCAGAAATAACTTTCAGTATACAGAGTTATGTCAAATCATTCCCTAGAAAGTGCAGAGAACTAAAAGAGGAGAGACAGAATGGAAGGACTATAAAAAACAAGACTCTCTTGCTAAGCATGCTAGGACAGAGGTGTTGAGGCAGTTACTGGTAACAACTGAAATCGAATGAATCATAAACTATGAAAACGATTGGAGAGAAATATAAATGTATATAAACTACCCTGTCCTTAGGAGTTTTTTGTTGTCGTTGTTGTTCTTTAACTTTATGACTTTCATATACGAAAAAAAGTTAATGATTTATCTGTACCGATTTAGTGAGACATTGTGGTTTTATATGAAATGCATTTGGATGGTCTATCCTTGACTTTTGTAGATTTCAGTATCACAAGAGGCTAAATGTTAGACCTAGATAGAGCATGCAGGAAGCTATCAAGGAAGAGTCGTAGTCCTAGGAAGAATTTGAAAATCATTTAGGATTTGCTCTGTTAGCCTTTCAAAATGATTGGAATGTTACAAGATCCAGAATGTAAATTACACTAGCATAAGTATCTGAATATATAATCTCTAAATGCCTGGGTTTAATTTAGCTTTGGATGAGCAACCATGGAGATCTCTAGAGCAAATCTAATTTCTCTTGCAGGAAGCAAGATCAGTGGACCCGGAAAAACATAAAAGATTACAAGGATGACCCATTTTGGAGACATATAGGCTATGTTATGACACAAATGAATGGGCTGTATGTAGGAGCAATGAGGAGGGCTAAGTTAGAAAGGACAAAGGTAAGATTTTTAAAAAGCTGCTCAGAATTTATATTGGCATTTGGCAATATTATTGCCAAGAATATTGAATATTGAAAGTTATCTTTAAAATATGGCAAGAATATTGAAAGAATGGCAAGAATGCTGAAAATTACCTTTAAAATAACATTGCAACCTAGAAGCAGGTCAAATTAGGACTAGCACATAAATTTCTTGCACACAAGCACTGTCTTGTTATATTGCTAGCACCTGACTCAGTGACAGAAAATTCAGGCTTAACACACAAACTCTTTAGCTCTTAATCTCTTTCATAATACTATGCTGTGGAGTAGGTTAAAGAATGTACTGAATGAATGTACTGGCTGTTTAACTAACCTAATAAAGTTAGTATCTTTGGTGATATAATTGTTAAGACAAAATGTCTAAGAGTACAAGTTCTATGCTTCCCACCCTCTATGACACACATTTGTGCGCACGCACACACACACACACACACACACACACACTGGATATATATATATATACACACACACACACACATTGGACAAAATAAACAAAAAGACAGTTCACAGAAAAGCGAAACAAAAAATTCTTAATCATATGAACCAAGCCTTACTCATAAGTTTAGAAATACACATTAAAACCATCCTGAAACATACTTCTCTACTTTCTCGCTTGTCAATTTGGCAGAAATTCCAAAATGTGAATGTCTACCCTGTTGGCAAGACTAAGGGGGAAAAAAAGCCCTTTCCCTAAATACTGGTAGTGATACAAAACAGTGTATTTGCTATGGAGAGAAAACTTGGCACTCAGTACCCAAATCGCCTACTCATATACCCTTTGATCCGGGAATCCCATTTTTACGATTATCACCAAGGTTCACAGACAAAAATTCAATATGGCTTATGTGCCAGTCTCTTCACTGCAGATAATTTGTAATATCAGAAACACTGAAAACAGCCAAATACATAGAAGACTGGCTGCGTAAATGATGTGGCTGTAACAGGAATGAGGTAGATCTCCAAATACTGTTATGGAGTGAGGTTCAGGATCTGGTATGAAGTGTAAAAAAGTAAGGTGAAGACCAGTGTGAATTGTTTGTTGTCTTTTACGTAAGAAATGGAAATAAGATGATGGAAAGATAGATAGATAGACTGATTTGCTTAACTTGCCAAGAATAAACAACAATGAAAGAATAAACCCAATACTTAAAAAAAAAAGATTACCTACCAGAAAAGGGAGGGGACAGGACTGAAATATACATTTCTCTGAATGTATCTTTATATATATTTGACTTGGGAACCATGTAAATGCTGTTCATAATTATAAAACAAAATTTAATCACACGGAAGAAAAACAGTCCCTAAAATCTTAAAATGAATTGGCATGAATATATCTAACTATATATCAAGTTCATGGCATAACCACACAGAGAGTGGTTATTTCCAGTGACCTTAACACAGTTATCACTATACATCCTTAGTGGGATACATCCTAAGGACAAGAACCACCACCATAAAACAAAAACAAAACAACCTTAAACTGTAATTCAGGAATCTCACTTTAGCAATAATATTAGTGTTGTTATTTTAAAATTTTATAAATATAGTAAGATAAAGCAAATAAATAAATACATTGAATATCAAGATTTTCAACATAAGAAAAGTCAATGAAGTTGAGACCTTGTAGTTTTTAAAGTTATAGAGGCAAGAAATCATTACTTTTAGCTTCCTTAAAAAAATACATATTTTCTTACTTTGCCCCCTTGAGAAGGCTTAGAAATAATGAGAGTAGCATTGATCCAGTAGCACTGAGCATCCCCTAGGAGACTATGTTTTAGGGTAAGCAACAATATCTCAAACAAGACAAAAAAAGTACTAGCCATGAAAAAAATATAAATTCAGCTAATTAAATTTCTTTTCATCAGAAGACACTGTATAGAAAGTGGAAAAATAACCTACAAACCAAGAGAAAATATTTGCAATACATTTAACTAACAAAGGGTTTGTTTCAGAAATACGTAAAGAATAACAAATTTTAAAAAAAGAAAATACCCAATAGAAAAAAAAGCAATGGGCAAAAATATCAACAGGAATTTCACAGAAAAGGAAACAAAAATGACCCATAAAAATGTGGAGAAATGCTTAATTTCAATAAGATACACAGATTAAAACCTTGATGAGGGAGGGTCTGGGTGGTTCAGTTGGTTAAGCGTCTGCTTTCGGCTCAGGTCATGATCCCAGGGTCCTGGGATCGCCCCAGAGTGGGCCCTCAAATTGGGATCCCAAAGGGAGTCTGCTTCTCCCTCTCCCTCTGCCACTCCCCTGCTTGTGCTCTCTCTCTCCCTCTCTTGCTCTCTCGCTCTCTCAAATAAAGAAAATCTTTAAAATAAAAATAAATAAATAAATAACCTCAATGGGATTCTATTACACACTGGAAGTGGGAAATCTTAACCACTGCTGGATTGAGTAAATTGTTCCAACTGCCTTGGAAAAGGATTGGATGTTACTTGAAACATTTAAAGATAACATATGTTCTACAACCTAGCAAATCCACTCAGAGATTAAAGACATTCTTGTACGTGGGGGGGTCTGTGTACATAAAAGTTCACGGTACCATTGTTTTGCTGCAAACTGGAAACGCTCCAAATGTTCATCGTAAGTATATCATGGTACCATATATTCATGTAATTGAATACCTTATAGCAATGAAAATGAATGTGCTGTTTCTACACGATCAACATTGATGAATGTCAAAAAAACAATGTTGAACAGAAGAATGTACGCAATATGATTCTATTTATACAAACACAAAAGCAGACAAATTTAAAAATACACTGTCTGGGGATGTATACACAAATGACAAAGTAACAGAAAAGGGGGTAATGAGCCACACAGAATTTAGCAGAGTGGTTACTGCTGGTAAGGAGGGAGATGAGATTGGAGGCTTCCAAAGCACAGCTAATGTTTTATTTCCTAATCTGTCAGGTCGGTTCATAAGTGTTTTTTTTCTTCTTAAATTGTGCATATGCATCTTTATTCTTTCATATGTATGGTATCATTCTTTTTTTTTTTTTTGTATGGTATCATTCTTAATTAAAAAAATAAAGGCATGGGGAGCCTGCTTTTCCCTCTGCCTGCCGCTCCCCTTGCTTGTGCTCTCTCTCTCCCTCCTTCTCTCTCTCTGACAAATAAATAAATAAAATCTTTAAAAA